AGTTTTGGTATGATAATGTGGGAACATACTTCAGGGAAAAAACCTTTTCATAATAGATCACATGATCACCGTCTTATTTTAGATATTTTAAGAGGAGAGAGGCCTGAAGTTACTGAGGACACACCTAAATTTTTTGCTGAATTGATGGAGAGATGTTGGGATTCCAACCCTGAAAATAGGCCTGATGCCAATGAAATTGAAAAGGTGTTTGTAAAATATAATCTCAATCCTCCTGAAGAACTAAAAGAAATTATTGAGTCAGCAGAAGCTAAACGACAAGAGATCATTAAATCAGAAAAATATTTATCAGATGAAAAAAATTATAAAAATCATCCAGAAACTTTTTATACAAATCGACCACTAACTAAACTAATTAAACAAGCTAACTCGCTAAGCAATCCATCTTCAACTGAATCGAATTGTCATGACACATCAGTAATGGGTTGGCAAATGAGAAGCGAGTCAATGTTTAATAATAATTAGATTATTTATTTATTTATTTATTCATGTTTATTATTACATTATTTATAATTTTTAAATAAAGTTTTTAAAAACTTGCATATGATATGGATAATCATCAAAGGCCTCGAATATATTAAAAGTTGTTGTATATAATCATTTGCGTCATAATGATCATAATAAACAAAACGAGTAGTTGATTTATTATTGAAATTACTATTTTTGGAAGCCAAAGTTTTTGGAATATGCATTTTGCAAAATGACAATTTTTATTTGGTTTAATAATTGCAAATTTATATAATATTTTAATTTAAAAAGAAATGTTTGCTAGCTATATATTAATTTTTTTGAAGCAAATAATTTTTATCGCTTGCACTTATTTATTTATTAACATAAAATGATAATCATTAATGAAATTGAAAAATCAGTGTCGAAGTGCAAAAATAAAAAATTAGCAAAATTTCTTTATGAATGTAAAATGAATAGAGCCAAGATAAAATGGATTCCATATGATGAATTTTCTAATGTCAAATATTTAACTAAAGTAGGATTTAGTGTAGTATACACTGCTTATTGGTCGTGTAATAAAAAAACAGTTGTATTAAAAAGCATCGATAAATC